CAAAGTCATGACTCTAATTTAAAAAATGCAAAGTCATGACTCTAATTTAAAAAATGCAAAGTCATGACTTTAATTCAAATAATGCAAAGTCATGACTCTAATTTCAAAAATGCAAAGTCATGACTTCAATAATGGAAATATTAAGTTCAAAAATGACCGTTCACGATTCAGGGAACAAGCTGGCTGCCAGATTATCATTGGCAGATAGTTATTAAAGTGGCGAACGTCAGTTTGTAATTGATTTTTTTTACATTCTGAATGGCCAACTGACATACAGCTATCAATTTGTCATTCAAAAGATTATTGACCTGAGCGCGAATTTCTCAACTAACTTTAAATCCTTCATGATCACATTACTGAACTGGTTACATTAAACTAATATAAACGTTTAAAATAAGATGTTTTTGTAATAAACAACGAGAAGATATTCAAGTCCTCTCTTTTCACCATTTCACTTTATCGGAAAACAATATAGCAGCATGAATTAAAAATAGAACTAGAGAGTAACCTGCATCATGAAGATAAATACTAAACTCTAGTTTTATCCTTGTTACTAATAGTTTGGTTTTAGTTTTGCTTCACAGTTTATGCTGTTTCTGTTCTTATTTTTCAGATTATGTAGTTTTAGTGTTGTTTGAAAATGTCCACTTTTAGTGTAGTTTCCAAATTGTGTAGTATTAGTATTGTTTCAGAGTGTGCATTTTTAGTGTAGTTTTAAATTGTACTGTCTTTAATGTAGTTCTAAACCGTGTAGTTTCAGTATTGTTTGAAAATGTCCACTTTTAGTGTAGTTTCAAATTGTGTAGTATTAGTATTGTTTCAGATTGCGCAATTCTGGTGTAGTTTCAAATTTCACAATTTTAATATAGTTCCAAATTGTACAGTTTTAGTATTGTTTGAAAATGTCCACTTTTAGTGTAATTTCAAATTGTGTAGTATTAGTATTGTTTCGAATTGCGCAATTCTGGTGTAGTTTCAAATTGTACAAGTTTAATATAGTTCCAAGTTGTACTGTTTTAATGTAGTTCCAAACTGTGCAGTTTTAGTATCGTTCCAGGTTAAGCCATTTTAGTATAGTTTCAAAGTGTGCAGTTTTAGTGTAGCATTTCTTAAGATTGTGCAGTTTTATTATAGTTTCAAATTATGTAGTTTTAGTAATGTTTCAGATTGTGTAGTTTTAGTATTGCTTGACATTATGCAGTTTAGTATAGTTTCAAATTGTGCAGTTTAATATAGTTTCAAATTATGTAGTTTTAGTATTGTTTCAGATCGTACAGTTTTAGTATAGTGTCGAGCTCCGTAGTTTTAGTATTGTTTCAGATCGTGCAGTTTTAGTATAGTGTCGAGCTCCGTAGTTTTAGTATTGTTTCAGATCGTGCAGTTTTAGTATAGTGTCGAGCTCGTAGGTTTAGTATTGTTTCAGATCGTGCAGTTTTAATACTGTTTCAGATTGTGCAGTTTTAGTATTGTTTCAGATTGTGCAGTTTTAGTATTGGTTCAGATTGTGCAGTTTTAGCATTGTTCTGTGGTTTGGTATTGTTTTAAAAGCTGAGTACTTTCAGCCTTGTTTCACTAGTTGTGCGGGTTTCAATCATGTTTTCTAAATTTGCGATATTAGTTTTGTTTCATAAGTTTAGGCAGTTTTATCTTAATTCACTAGTTGTGCGGGTTTAAATCTTGTTGTTGTTGTGTGTTTCCAGTTGTAATATTCTAGTTTTGTTTTATAAAGTATGTGCTTTAATCTTATTTAAGATACATTTTAGACAGCGACGTCAGCACAAAACTGCATCAGCTCCTGATGATGTATGAAAGTAGCAATGGGCTTCATCAAGACCTGATGCAGCCCTGTGCTAGCAGTTCTAAGCATCATCTTCAACTGAACAGGTAGATGCAGTTTGTAAAAACTTTTCAGTCCAGTGCGATTTTAGAAGTTGTGTGTCTTTTACCTTATCTAATAAAATAAATCATTAGTAGATTAATGTTAAATATTTTCTTATTTATTTTACAAATAGAGTCAAGATTATCTATAAGTTTTATTAATTATTTACCTTTCTCGGCCATGCAAATGTAATTTCTGTATGTACTGCAACTATGATCGTTCCACTTTAAGTTTTGAGGCCTCAGCTCCACACAGTGGTCCTTATCGGGGTCAGAAGGTTCTCCGATATCCCAGTTGAAGAAATCTGCAGCAATATCATTCTCCCATTCATATCCACCTGGAAAAAAAAGATTCCCTGGCTCTGATTTCAAGAAAATTTGGTATAAAAATTGAAATTCTGCTAACTGTACTCTTATATTTGAAGAACTGCCTGATATTAGACTGTTTTTGTTAACATTTCAAAGTTTTATAATACAAATTACAATACTCTATTATCTAATTTTAGTTAACTTTTAACGGCTTTAATTTAGATTTTTCCAATTCATCCACAACGGTTCATTTCTTATTAACACACTTCAAGTTCGTTTACCATTCAAAACAAAACTTCTTTCAACGATACCGTAAATTAACATATGCGAAATAATTTTTGTAAAAACATCAACCTTACTTTTTACCCTCTGAAATGGTTATATTTTCTCCTAAAGTTACGCTTTTTGTTCAATGTCATAAGACCCAAGAAACCCAACCCCGTTATTTACACTCTAAAATATTAATCTTTTCTCCAAACATTACGTTCTTTGTTCACTGTCGTGAGATTAAAGAAGACAAGCCTTACTTTTTACACTCTGAGAAACTAATCTTTCCTCAAAAAAATTACGTTTTATGCTCACCGTCGTGAGATTCAATAAGGCCAATCCACATCGATTGACTTCTGCCACTGACGTAAGGCTGAATCAGTTGTAATTCAGGCATAGAATGGAACCTGGCCAATGAACCTCCTACAGAAAAATGAGAAACAATGAATTTATCTGATGGTCACTATAACGGTATATATATAGGCTTTAACTACTAGAATTACTAGAAGATCAGAAACAAACTGATTGTTGTCGACAAAGATGTTAAAACTTTATTGGTACACGAAGTTTATTCTAAGAAGCACCGTCACATAATATTTGACTTTTTTATTTGTTGTTACGTTTCTTCTATCGGGTTTGTAAACAAGGAACTAAAGTTAAATAATAAACTAGAAACAAACATCTTTACTGATACTTTTATGATACATACCTGTAAGGTGTCAGTTGATTGTATTTATTTTCACAGTAGTATTGTTACGTCTCTGTTCGTTTGTTAATTTCCCGTAAAAATTATTTCCGAAAAACTTCAGTGATACAAGTCCTTTCTTAATTAAAACTAGTTTTTTCTTTCTCGTTACAAACTTTGTAATACACTTAATTTCCACAATCACTTTAAATTTAACTACTTTTATAAACACACGCTATAATTCACAACGATTCACACACTTTACTTACGGAGCCTACTGCTCGCTTGACTCGATTATCTCAATTATCTGTCACTATATCTCTATCTGCAATTATATCTCCGGTTTATCTGCCGGGCTTATATACTAAAATAGTGGGCGCCTAGAAAAGAATAGAGTTGCCAGGAAAAGTCAAGATCCTTCGAGAATCTCATGACGTGTTACCAGAGTCACGTGACTTCCGCTGTCGTAACAGTATCATTGTTAGAACTGATGTTACATTAATCGGATATTATACGTCAAAATGTTCAGAGAATATAAAATTATAGAATACTTCCAATGTAGGGTTATATGTAGGGTTGAGTATATTACATTAAAACGATTTAGAATATGCAAATCAGTAAGGCATGTGACAACCACAGCCGATATAAAGTTGCAATAGAGTAGAATGTACCAAAACTACTTTCTAACATTGTTTGCCGTTATATAGGTAACATGATGCCACAAAAAATAGATCGCTTTCGGTAAGGATGTATAACACACCTTTTCGACGCTAAATATTCATACACTCAAGTCATAAAGATGTGTTCATGGTTCATAGAGAGGATTTAGAATTTCCAAGACAGAGATACCTCTTGTAATTAATGGCATTGGAAAGAAAAGGAATATGGATAAACTTAGGGTACTAGAACTATCCAGAAGGAGATCTGCAAAAAGTCTTATCTTACACATGGTAAACAAAACACGATGTCTTATAACAGGGGAGAATCCAAAAATATAAAGGTCGGTGGCAAACGCCGTCCATGTGTCCCAGGCAATGGTATGAAAAATAATCAAACGTATACCTCAAGCAGCTGAAGAATAGAATAGGTATTTATGCTATTTCATATGAAGATATATCGGTCAACTTTCTGGAGTTTATGATTGAACTGGGAAACTGCCTTCTTGGAACAGTATGTGGATTAGTGGTCCAAGTAAGAAGGAGGTGGGAGTGTACTTTTGACATGACAGCCTTAGGACGGAACCTTCTGCAATGGAAACTACGCTGCAGAGCTGTTGTCAAAATGCACGGCTTTAGAAAGAACATGACTGAACGTCACGACATGGATCGTAGCCTCACGTGGGTGAGGCTCCAAAATAGTTTTAATATAACGTACACAACATGTGAAATAATTATCTAATTTTAACAGTAAACTTCTACCGTCACTGTAGAAAGGTAAATTTGGGTTTACGGTATGAGTCATCATCTACTGACAGTCTAGTGTTGTAATACTAAGCCTATGTTACAAGACAACCCCTCTGACAAGTAGGGAGCTAACATTGAGTTGACACTACAACTCAACCTCTTCTAACACTAATGAGTTGTAACACTGAGAAGGTGCTAAAAGTCAACCTCTATCGACATTGTAGAGATTTAACACTGTGTTGATGTTATCAACTAATCTCTACTGATATTGTACAGTTTTAAGATTGATTAATATTTTTTGTAGTTTTTCGCGAGCTATATAAATACATTCATAATTTAATATTTAATTAATGTAATGATTAAAGTAAAGAATGACAGTTTTCAACTAGCCACACAAATATAATTTTAGATTAATGTGTAAAAGCCTGGTTTTATAACTATCTACATAAACACAGTTTTTAATTAATGATAATAACACATGATTATTTCAGGTTTTAAATAACTAGGTAAATTATGAACATTTTCGTGTTTATTTGATACGTATGAAACATGGTTACTTTTAATGATTAACTGACATAACGTAGTTTATGAATTCCATACAGAAATTAACAGCACATAAATACAGAATTGTATACATATCGGACCTAGCGACTACTATAGATAGTACAGTTGATCTACACCTGTCAAAAGAACATTACTAAAAACATTTATCTGAAATAGATCTTTTCCCAGATGAGCTCAATAATGAAGTCGTTGATATGTAGTTACTGCTGAAACTTCGTAAGTACAATAAAAGATAGTAACAATACAATGGAAGGGGTTTTTAGCATATGTATTATTTTTTATAACGCTACGATTTAATGATTTTATTCGTAAATTATAAACTTCGTGACTGGTGTGTATGTGTATTGTCTAAGAGGTCACGATATTTAAAAGCGAGAGAAGGTGGAATAGCACAGTTTAAAGTATTAAGTTTTAGTTAAAGAAAGTTTTATCTTATGATTGGCTTTTACAGTGATTGTAGAACGGGATCGTACCATTTGAAGGTTTCACTCCTACACTAAATTCACACGTTTAAATTTAAATACAAAAATGGAAGGTTGTAAATATTACGATACTAAAATGGAACGATAAGGTAGTTTTATGTGTGTATATATAATAAATCTGAATGTGGTACATAATCATTCTTATTTTAAAATTTATTTTCTCACTAATGTGAATTTATTGTCACTATTATTAATAACCAGACAGGTCAATATAAAATCAGTTTAGGAAAACTGTGATAAATATTGCAAAAATTACTTACCTGAAACTCTTTTAAAAGTCACGCCAATGTTGGTATGTTTTAAAGTAGCTACCATGTAATCTTATGGTTTAGGAAAACTGTGATAAATATTGCAAAAATTACTTACCTGAAACTCTTTTAAAAGTCACGCCAATGTTGGTATGTTTTAAAGTAGCTACCATGTAATCTTATGAACCAAACTGATACGAGCAAATGAAACAAATTATGAATTTAAACAAAAACTAGGTAAATCACTTAAAAGACAACTTGAAGAAGATTCTTTGTATCTCAAAAAGCAAATATTTAACACAGATTGTATACATCTAATCCTATTAACACACAGAACAATAAAACACCAAATCTAGACAACCAAATCTTCATAAATTGGAAGATTAATAAAACAACAAAAAAGAATCCCTTTTTAATCACACAGATGATATTAATGAGGTAAAGTTATCAAAAAATTGAAACAGAAAGTATTGATAGATCACGATTTGCTTTACTCCCAGAAAAACTCAGATTTCAGAATTATATTTAATCTTTTGAATTTTTATTGGAAAAAATACCTAAACAACCAATTTGGTCACGTATTCAAGAAACATTTGATAGTACGAAAACTCAAATAACGGTATAACTATGTTTTCTTTCAATAACTACAGTTCTAAGTACAAAAATATTAACTACAGAAAAGAAAACTATTAGCCATAAAAATAACAAAGTAACAGCCTGATAAAGGAAACAAGGTTAATATGAACAAATCATATTATAGCTTAAAGGTATTGAGAGATAATACAAAAAGAAACCGCGGTCATTACTTACAAATCATTATAAGATCAGCTTAGGAGAACTGTGTTAAATATTGCAAAAATGAGTTACATGAAACTCTTCTGAAAGTCCCGCCAAAGTTCGTACATTTTGAAGTAGCTATTAATTAACCTTATGTATCCAACTGATTCGAGTAAATGAAACAAATTATGAAATATAACAAAAACTATTGGTCAAAATGCACTGTCATGAATGTAGCGAAATGGATTGTAACTACGCGTGGTGAGACTCCAAAATAGATTTAATATAACATACACAACATCTGTAGTACTTAATTCATTTTAAATATCAACATCTTCTGATATTGTAGAATGGTAAATTCCAGTTTACGGTATGAGTATCCGTTTACTGACAATCTATAGTTTTAATACTAGACATGTTTTACATGACAATCCCTATATATTTGTATATAAAGAAAGACGTCCAGTTAGGTTCACAGTACCTACTATTAGAACATACAATCAGGAGTTAGTAGGATATTTAATAAAATACTGAGAATGAATTACTCGTAACGAGTACAGACACATTATTAAAGACAGTTTCATCTTTACTAACGAAATAACAAATCCATAATTTAATAAGAGTTTATGCAAGTGTTAATGTAAAACCACCTTACAGGTATGTTCGACTTAAGGAAACATTATAACTGGTCACAGGTTTAATCTATTCGGGACATAAGAATATTATAGAATTCCCAAACGTGTTTAAAAGCTGTCACATCTTGCAACAAAGGCATCATATTTTGTGTTTAGTAGCATAATGTACGACCAAGTAGATGGAGTAGTAATAGGATCTAGATTGGCACGTGCATTTAACAAATGTTTCCTTTGCTTTCATAGCTTGGTCGGAAGAAATTTTGGTGAAATATTTATCCATCATGAGAAGCTAACTATCACATATGCATACCTATATCAAAAACCAGAGAAAAATTTTAAAATTAAAATTAATTGCCCTAAAATATGGTTAATGATATGATGCAGAATTAGTTGGATAAAGTTAGTTAAAGACGTAACACAAACAAAGTATGATGTTCTAACTATAATATAGTTGTAACTATGTTGTTGGCTTATTTGGAATACTCTTTGTTGCAGCCTGTTTCTAATCTTTAAATTTCTATTCCTGTTTAGCCGGAGGGAACTTACCATAAGGGTGATGGGCATGGCTTTACTGTCTGGAACTTTTTCCAGGTCTAGGAAACAATTTAAACCATATATACAAAAAGAGTTCGGATAGAATGAGTTGTTTATCTAGCGAATTTGTTAGTCAGTTGATAAGTAGACAGATAGTCCATTGTGTAGCTTTGTGCTTAACTTTGAACAAACAAACAAACCACTACGTGTATCGAAACCCAATTTGTGGTGTCGTAAGACTGCAGGCTTACCGCTGAGCCATACACAGCCTTTAGGGTTATATTCCCACCCGAGTGCTGATTAATTTCTTCCCGACAATATATCGTAATTAAAATGTTCGAAAGTAGAACATAAATTTAGTTCTTGTAGGATCAACCACCAGGTTACAACACAGATGTACAATATAGCTCTTCTACAGAGGGCGCTACTTATAAAGAGGAAGTCTTGTAGTTCGTAAAGCTTAGCTACAACCTGACGAAATGTGTTTCAGTATATACAGTTCAACTGCATCTTTGAAATAAACTAACTGACTTATTTTAGCAGCTCGCTGTTTCTGACCATTATTATAAACAACGTATTTAACGTTTTCCAGTTTTAACACATTCTTACTAAGTTTTTTGCAGAAAACAGAAGCGTCGATCCAGGATTTGGTGTCTGTAGAGAAGTGGAAACAATATGGACCCTGGATATTGACCCAAGAGTCCAAGTTTTGCGGACATCTTCCGCTTATGTGAGGAATGTCGATGATCGGAGGTATCACTGAAAAACAGAAAATATCGTCCTTTACATTTTAACATGTGAATATGTCTTCGTCTAGTGTTTCGAATATCATTAAACGAAAACAAATATTGGTAGAGACTTCCATGAAAAGAGCACGACATCTCTTAGGGTTTTGTAAAATATTGACTTTTTGTCGAACTTACAAGTTACAGTTCATATTTTACAGGTGAATGATAGTGTTTTTCTAACTTACATTTCATAAATTTACAGATTAATAATGAACAACTTTCTATAAGTTCTCACATTAATGTATATCTTTTTAAATCGCAGTTCATAACCGTGGAGGTTAATTAACTATTTTTAATTAGTTCACTTTCCAAAACTTCAATGATTAATGTGTTTTCTAAGTTACGCTCTGTAATTATACAGATGAATGAGTATTTTAGCCCACAGCTCATAATTTTGCAGATAAATCAGTTTTCTAGCTAACACCTCATAGCTTAACATGCTAATGAACATTTTCTAACATTTCTGTAATGATAGTGTTCAGAAATTTACGGATTAATATGTTTTCTAATTTACTCTGTGTAACTGTATACATATATTTCACAGTTCGTCACATTCACATAAATGACTTTTGTCTACTAACGTTTCACACACTTCACACGAAAATTGGAGTTCAATTGTACACATTATGGAACGTTTTTGTAACTCATAGTTTAAATCTTAAAATATAAATTTAGCTCATGACTTCATAGATGAATAAGAGTATATCTAAAGCACAGTTTACAATTTAACAGATGAATGAGTTTTTCTGACTTACACTATGTAACTTTACAGATGAATGAGTTCTTCTGACTTACACTCTGTAACTCTACAGATGAATGAGTTATTCTGACTTCATCTGTAAAGTTACAGAGTGTAAATCAGAAAAACTCATTCATTTGTAGAGTTACAGAGTGTAAAGTGTAAGTCAGAAGAACTCACTGTAACTTTACAAATGAATGAGTTTTCTGACTTACACTCTGTAACTTTACAGATGAATGAGCGTTTTTCTTCACATGGAAGAACTGTCCATTCGTTTACTTCCTGAAAGGCCACGCAGCGTGTTTTATTGATGGCGGTGCTGCTCGGCTGCCCTTTAGCCCATTTAGTATAGAATACCGGCCACTTGTCTGACCATCGGAATCTGTCCTGGCTCTTAAATAAAATGGAAATAAAAACGATTTGCTGTGATATTCTGAAAAGCGTGAGATTAATAAATCTTAAATTAGTAAATAGGAAAGTTGCTCTAGTTTATGATATTGGAAAAATAAAGTTGCTAAAATTTACTTTCTCAATAAGAAAAGTTTTCCAATTTATCTTAGTAAAAGGAAAACCTACAATTTGTATTAGTAAATAGTAAAATGAGAAACAACTTACAATAATTACTTTTTGTTTATATTTACGTTATTAAACAATGAATGTACTACAATATTTATCAGAGATTTAATATATATAATCAAGTTTCTTGATGATAATGTTTCATCTTTCTACGTTTTGTGTTTATTCAAAATAATGACTAATTATTAAATATGATATCTGCTTAAAATCTAATCTAAACAGTGCTTTATCATTTTTGTTTATCTTTGGAAATTTCGATTTAGGCTTCATCGATTTAAAATTACTGAGTATTCTAGCAAGAGCCATGATATAAGGGTTTATTTGCAGCATATATCGTGAAGACTGCTTAACCCGAAATGACAGGAAATAAACATTTGTTTTGGCATTCAAACTTGATATTATACTAGTGTTCAGATCCATACAAAGCTATTCTGGAAGAGAAGCAGAAAAAATGTTTTAAATACTTTGATTAATGTTGTCAGATTCACTCAGAACTAAAAAACAAGAAGGGTTGGAGCAAGGTACGTAAGTATCTTTAGGGCTATCACGTAATCATTCACATTATGGATGTGTAAAATTAATAAAGTGGCTGCTGTGAACAGAACAGACGTATTAAAACATTGATGTAACTTTGGACAGTGTAAGGGGTAAGACAGGGTGTACAGTTAACATACATACACAAGATATTAAAGCATGCAAATAACATGAACAAGCAGGAAGCACAGTTCACATCCCTGTATATAATCCTCCAAAAATATTAACATTCACGTTATATGTAAAATATCCAAGTAAATACAGTATTCACAAACAGCAGTGGTATAAGTTGGTACATACCAATCCTTCTCAAGTTCCCAAATAAATACAGTATTCACAAACAGCAGTGGTATAGATTGATACATACCAATCCTTCTCAAGTTCCCACGTAAATACAGTTTTCACAAACAGCAGTGGTATAAATTGGTACATACCAATCTTTTTCAAGTTCTCACATAAATACAGTATTCACAAACAGCAGTGGTATAGATTGGTACATACCAATCCTTCTCAAGTTCTAAAGAATATACAGTATTCACAAACAGCAGCGTATAAGTTGGTGCATATCAATCCATCTCAAGTTCTCACGTAACTACAGTATTCCCAAACTACAGCGGTATAAATTGGTACATATCAATCCATCTCAAGTTCCCAAATAAATACAGTATTCACAAACAGCAGTGGTATAAATTGGTACATATCAATCCATCTCAAGTTCCCAAATAAATACAGTATCCACAAACAGCAGTGGTATAGATTGGTACATACCAATCCATCTCAAGTTCCCAAATAAATACAGTATCCACAAACAGCAGTGGTATAGATTGGTACATACCAATCCATCTCAAGTTCCCAAATAAATACAGTATTCACAAACAGCAGTGGTATAAATTGGTACATATCAATCCATCTCAAGTTCCCAAATAAATACAGTATCCACAAACAGCAGTGGTATAGATTGGTACATACCAATCCATCTCAAGTTCCCAAATAAATACAGTATCCACAAACAGCAGTGTTATAGATTGGTACAAACCAATGAATCTCAATATCTCAATAGAGTAAAAAAAATAATAAAGATCATCCCACGTGATAAACAAGAATACATCAAAATACTCATGTAAGTCTGTATTCACGAACTCAACAAGTATATTAGTTCATGCAACGCTAACACCCAAAAATAAAGACATGAATCACACAAACATCAAACTTAAGATAAAAACATAGCAAAGACTTCCACATTTAATCAACTAAAAACAGCCGCATAAGCAATGAAATATGTAAAGCCTACCTACTTCATCTGCATCACACAAATTAACAAAAATAACACATAGTGGGCATCAACAAAGACAACTGTTATCTAGCAATTAACACGTCTAAGATTGAACTCTGGCTCAATCACATACAAGTTCATCAGATTAGCAGCCGAGGCTTAAAATGTTTATCTGTCAGAATAGGTAGTGCATATTGGAGGGATTTACACATTCTGGTAATAAAGCTAGAAAGAAACGACCTTTAAACTCCATATAATTATAGAATAATTTTTACATTAACCGACGTTTCGCCTTTGCAGGTTGTTCAGGGCTAGTACATGAAACTATTTGATATTACATTATTTGTTAAATTATTAAACTGCCTGTGATGTTCTATTTCTTGACTCTGATGTAATATGCCTTTAACAAGATATAGAGCACTATTATTGTTTCACTATCTTTCAGATATTATAGTATAAGTATAATGCTGTCACGTATCTGCTCGTTTGATAATTTTCCGTAAAAATTCTTTCGGAGAAACTTCAGCGACACAAGTCCTTTCTTAAATAAAACTAGTTTATTCTTTCTCAATACAACTTTGCAATACACTTAATTTCCACAGTCACATTAACTTAAACACACGCTATAATTCACAACGATTCACGCAGATTCTCGACAGAGAGACAAAGGGAATAAACTGTTACGTATCTGCCTGTTTGTTAATTTCCGTTAGAAATTCTTTCTGGGGAACTTCAGTGATACAAGTCCTTTCTTGATTAAACCAGTTTATTCTTTCTCGATACACACTTTTAGTACACAGTAATTTCACAATCACTACGTTTCTCGTCACTTTAAACTTAACGACTTTTACAATATACGCTATAAACCACAGCGATTCACAATCTCGATAACAAAACACATACTAGCTCGAAACAGAATCGTAAATTACCCGGAACTCTCTTCATTCAATCCTGAAGGCTTTTCTGCCAGGCTTATATACTAAAAAAGAGGGCGTCTCAAACAAACTCGGGCTTCATGATCATTCGAGAAATTTTACGCACGCTACCAGCGCCAAATGCGCCAGCAGAGACACGTGACTTCCGCTGTCGTAACACAACCTTTTATAGTTAGTTATATCAACATATTAAATATATTGGTTATATGAAATATATATAAACAGAATTACAAAATATTTTATGATTAGCCACAAAAAATATGCGAAAAGTAAAAGTCCCTAAGAAACAAATATTTAGGAAGTTCAAAGAATACAAAATGTACAAACAGTGTTAAAAACAAACTGTAACACTATGTGATACGCCAGAGTACGCAAGTGTTAAACCAAAAGTATATAAGTTATACCTATGTGGTTTTGAGTCCGTTTTACTTGACCATAGCAACCTAAGTTAACTTAGGTATGTTAATAATGTTATGATATTTCGTTGAATTCATTATTATTTAACATACATATAAAAGTAATAATGTTAAGTGTATTACTATGAAGTGTGCGTTTGTTGGAATGGTGGCTTAGTTACATGTACCATCCATTGTCTCTGTTAATTTTCGGATTATATTTTTCATGAGTATAGCTTCCATATATGTTATTAAAATCTTTGTTTTTTTTTGTAAGATAGAAACCTCCAAGTCGAAACGTCGGTTAAAAATTTAATTCTCTTATAAGTATTTGGAGTGTAAAGGTTGTTTTCTTTTCTAACTTTGTTATTAAAATGCTTATATCTCGGTAATTATTTTCTGAACTCCAAAGGATGGTAACACAAGCTACTAGCCATGAAATGACTGGTACTTTGATACTCTTAAACATTCTATAGTTTTAATTCATTGTTTGAATATTAAGTACATTACATACAAACTTCGCATGGAATCCGTTCCACACGTTTTCGGTCGTAACATCCAATAAACTGTAGAGAAAAGCCTGATCGAAGAGATTAGTAACCGATGTCAGGTGTCCACCTTGACTAACACAGAAGTCCTCAGCTGCCTTCCAAGATTTCACCTGGCTGGCTTCTATGTACAGCTTGTAGCATGACTCTCGGTAACCGACATAGCCCTGCTCCAGGTGTGAGCAGTCTTGATAGTTGGGAGGTTTTGACTCAGGTAAATTCGGATCTGTTCAAACAAACACAAGACCAATAATTGTGTAAAATAATAACTGATATAAATTGATTACAGATTCTTATTTACTAAATAATTTTATTCGGTTAACCTGTAGAGAGAAAGTAACTCAAAGAATGTACTCTGTGTACTGATTGTCCTGACCGTTCTACCAGTTTTATTAGCAAGCTGATACTCAAATCAGACGACCATAAGAAATAAAAAGTAGTATAAGTAGTTTCATTCAGATGTACATAAGTCAACATGGAGGAACATTATCACTTTAGCCTAAATCTCTTTAATTTGAATTAAATGTATTAACATATATTGTATTCCAAATGTCTTTATCAGCTAAATTATTAAAATCTTAACATTTAAACCTCACACCATTTTAGACCATTCATCTTGACGAGCTGAGTTATCAACGATACTTCACACCAGTGCTAAACATGCATCTTGACCAGCTGACTTATGAAAGCTCTAATATTTATCCTTATATACACTCTAATGTTATCCATGCATCTTGACCAACTGACTTATGAAAGCTCTAATATTTATCCTTACATACACACTGTTATCCATGCATCTTGATCAGCTGACTTATGAAAGCTCTAATATTTATCCTTACATACACTCTAATGTTATCCATGCATCTTGATCAGCTGACTTATGAAAGCTCTA